GTAGAATAATTATCAGCGTAACGCTTCGACGAACTGTCAAAAAGTGGTTTTGCTCTAATTTTAGAAAACACTTAACAAAAAGGGAAAAAAAGGCGTTTTGGCTAAGTTCTTGCACCTTACAATTGGCAATTTCCATTCGTTTAGCAACAAGCAAGCACAAAAAGAACAACATAAAATGGGTTTAGTTTAAGTATTACTTAGTTAGGTTCTTTGGTTTGAACTTTGATTAATGATCTTTGAACTTATCTACTTAAGGTCTTTGATCTGACTTGACTTAAAGAGCAGCCTCTAAAGTCTAACCAGACAGGGCGATATCTTAAATAAAAAATATATTTTTTGAATGTTTCTCTTGCCAATTCTGCTCGCAAAGTTTAGTTTCTCATTACATTTAGAAATTAACGTATGTTTTTTCTCGCAATCGACTTATTTATACTCTATATTATCGAAGCTGGAATGGTATATTGGTACAATGTCTGTCAATGAGTTCGACAAAATGTTACAATTGGGAGCATAAGCGCACTGGGTGCTCTAAAATCGATAACATCGATAAATGCTTATCGATAAAATATCTCATACATTTGCCAGCTAGAATCACACAATTTTGAATGAAAATTTCTATTGTTGGTTTTCAATGATCGACTTATAAACATAAACATCGGAAATGTCTACAGTTCTTGAGCTAAAATCGAGACGTTAGAATCTCTTTAAGCTGATTTTCACTGCTTTAAGAGTATGCCGCAGTCGGCTAGGCTTGACTTTTCATTTCTCATCGGTTTTAACATAGCACTGGTCGTGGTTATAAAGCCATCAATAATCATAGAACGAATGCTTGACAGTTCTTAGTATTTAGTATTTGTCAAATGTCCACGGCGAATACAAATTGAGATATATTTGCGTTTAGTGCTGGCTTTAGATACGTTGCTTGCTCTTTTTTAAAAGATCGTCACCGGGAAAACGTATGTATATTTAAATTACTGATTCTATATGCATAAATGTATGTGTATAAATGTGTGTGTGTGTGTGTGTGTGTATGTTTATGTGTGTATGTGTTACCTACTGACAATTTTAATTTGTGATTTACTGTTAACCAAATGATTCGCAGCTTAGATCGATCTCTGTTTTGTACTCTTTACTCATCTGTATCTAAATAGTTTTGTTTGTCTTACTATTTTTATTTTCTAGTTACACTTCCATTTTGATTTGTGTAAATTTGTGTGCTAATTATCGTCAATTGAATGGGCTCGACTTGTTCAAAAACCCAGAAGCTAAGCTCAAAATTCACCTCGGCAATCTGACACCTTTATGTTGAACGACTAACAAAAAAAAAAATAAAATAAAATAGAAGTAATCGACGCGACATGAATCACAATTTTTTGTTGTTTGGAAGTCGCGTGCCGCCAGAGCTTAAAGAATGTTGCGCTGAAATCCAAATCCAAATCCCAATTCAAATCGAAATCACAATTGAAATCGAAACGACAAACTAAAAAACTGAAACTGCTGCAAATTGAGTGGCTACAAGTTGTCAATCTGTCAGTCTGTCAATCAGTTGATTGGGCGGCGCTTATAATTCACAACCTGGCGCCGGCCGAGCTGCCTTGGCATTATTCGCAATCGTTGTCGATCCAATCTGATGCAATCGTCTCCAATCTAAGGGCACTCTGATTTGAACAGACCAACAAAGGTTAACACTAACATTAACATTAAATTTAACATTTACTTTAATTCTATTGGTAAGATATTTCCACAGATAAAGAGCGACATTATTATTCGTTGTGGTTGATTATTATTGGCTGATGATTATTATTGGCATATTATTATTATTGGCATATTATTATCTCATATCGCTCCAATCAAGTACAAAAGTTGGCCAACTGTTGAAAATGGCTAAAAAGACTCGCTTGTTATTGCTGATCAGTAAGTTATATATATATATATATATATATATATATATATATATATATATATATATATATATATATACTTTTAGAGGTCAGTACAGTAGCGATCAAAATAATAGTCGTAGTAAAAAATATTTGCCTATCTTTTCTTTATTTAATGTTTCACTGTTTATCTTTTTCTTTCGCTGAACAATTTTTTGTCTAATTGTGTTTTTTTTCTCTCAACTTCCCCAATTCTTGTAATAAATATTTGACCATCTTACATTTTAATACCAGCTATTTAATGCTCTGCTGCTAAACTAGCTCATTTTATACATGGCTAAAAGGGCCCAAAATATAACATATACAAAAGGTAAATGAAAAAAATGAAGAGATATGTTGAGAAGTGAAATGCTCAAAGAAATCGAAGAGACTTTAAAAATAGAGATTATACACTTTGTGAAGCAGCAGTATTATTTTGACCTTAGCTGTACATTTGTTCAACTTTAAATTACTCTGTTAACTCATTTTGAATGGCTACAGAATGTTAAATATCTTATATATATTTGTATTTATATATAACATACAACTTTTCAGTAATAAAATAGTTATTTCAAAAGTTTTTTATTCAAAGTTTTGCACTCAAAATAATGCTGTTAATGTGTTTTGCTTATAAATTAAATTACAACCAGTCCTTAAATACATGTGTGTGTTTGTGTGCAATAAGTACAAATGTCATTTTATGCTTTTGTGCATTGGCGCAATAAATTGATTTAAAAAGTTATCACTCTAAAAATAAACTAAACTTGGTCCTGCAAAATCGGAGCCACTCAAAATGCATTAGTAAGTCGAAAACTTGTCAATATTTCCCAAATGTATTCCGTAATCATATTAAATCCACGTTATACACAAAAATAATAATAATGCAATTAATAATAGAGATATGCAAGTCAAAGTTTTGCAAAATCAAGCTCAAAGCGTTTGCAATTTAATGATACGATGGTCAGCACAAATCTTTAAAGACAGTGAAAATTAATCAACTCATGTTTTCAACGCGCTCTTGTGTGTTGTGTGTGTGTGCTGTGTGTGTGCTGTGTGTGTGCTGTGTGTGTGCTGTGTGTGTGCTGTGTGTGTGCTGTGTGTGTGCTGTGTGTGTGCTGTGTGTGTGTGCTGAGTGTGTGCTGAGTGTGAGTGTGTTGTGTGGCCACAAAATAGCAGCTTGCTTGCAGGCCGGAAATGACAAGTGGAAAATCTGCAGCTCAATTTGCTCGATAAAGAACCAAGCTGAGATTAAAACTAACAATGTTGAAATATCTTGTGTGTGTGTGTGTGTGTGTGTTAGTTGTGGGTGTGTGTGTCTGTCTGTGTGGTTGTGTAGCTCTTTATCTATTTTCAAAAACGAAAAGACAACCATTTTAGTCCCAAGTCCAAGCTATGGCCCGCACACAGGTTGCTGAAGCAAATTTACAGTTTGCAACATTCACCGCAATTTAATACATTTGCAGTAAAATCTCCTTCATCTACATACACACAGCTACATCCACACACACACACCCAATCACACAGACACACACAGTATATATTTTATGTGCTTTTCTGCCACAGAGTACTTACTAACTAGCAATTGTTGCATTTTTATTTCTTTTCTATCGGTTAGTAGTATATTTGATTTTCTATCCGGGCAGTTTTCTAATCTGAAAACCGTTTTACATTCATACATACATATATATAGATGTATATGTACTGCAGGTACAACTGTGGAAGAAAAAATAGCAGTTTAACAATAGTTTAACAATTTTGGTCTTGTTACACGATTTGTATAATAAAGCCAATTGAAATTCACAAAGAAACCTGGGTTGAATTTAATTTTGATTGGATTTACAAGACTGGTACTAAATTAACTAATAATATAACGATTCCTGTAAGTGGTTCTTAAAAGAATATTAAATATCGGAACTGGTTCCGGTACTGGGAAGAACAGAATTAACCAGAACTCGTCGCACATTCTCGATTGAACAGATATATCTATCAAATTGTGGTAATAGAGTCTTATCGATATACGCAAAAAGGAGGGAGTTATCGATAAAATATAATTAAATTTCTATAAATATATATTATACAAAAACTAATAGTTCATATGTTCGAAAGTCGGACAGGCGGACTTTGCCAGCAGACTCGATATATATGTATATATATATATATATATATGTATACTTTATGGAGTCAGAGAAGTTTCCTTTCATTTTTAATGGGTTCAGGGTATAAGAATCAAAACCATGCAATTTAGCTTGAAACTTCGTGCTTAATCGTTTTTCAAATGATTTGTGGTCTTCTCTTTGTTGTGGCATTCAATGTTCGCCTTCAGCACAAAACATTAAAGCAAAGCACAGACAACTAACTCAGAATGCCAGAATCTGAATTATTAACAGTGCACTTTTTGTTGTTGCCAGCACTGTTAGTGTGTACTAAGTATATTTATTAGCGGTTGACCAGTCGCTGAACTCGTAAAAACTTTTTCACACAAATTAAAATACAAATACCGCTATAGATACAGATACAGATACTGATACAGACACAGATACATAGATACATACGTATTTAGCTTGTGTGTAGTTAATTTCTGGGCTGCTACAACAATTAGCCATTGAAATTGATAACAGCTTTTAATTACGCCGCTGGCTTTACATTTTTTACTTTCTTACTTTTTTTTATTGTTTTTTATTTCGTTTTGTTTTGTTTTTTTATCTAGTGGTGCGGGCGAGCATTGAAATGTTGTGCTCTATATATACTATATGTATCTGGAGTATATGACACATGCGTAGGCACAGACACAGACACAGATACAGAAATATACAAAAAAAAAAAACAGAAACAGAAACAGAAACAGATACGTAGTAGATACGTAGATACAATTACAGCTAAAGCGGGGTATTGGTGCCCCTATCAAGAGTGCGATAATAGAGCTGTTAACATTTTGTTTACACACTCGATTTGTGTAGTAACAATTAATCAAATAATTGTCCCAACTCTCCTCTATTTGCCCACTTGTTGCCACAAACAGCAATTTGGAGTGCCAACAACCATTTTCTACAATGTGTGTCAACTCTGCTTTTCTACTTGCAGCGTGCAACATGAGCTGACACCCAATTCGTATTGCAAACGAGAGAATCGCTAAAGGTGAGTTTCAAATTTAAATTGTAAAATTAAATGCTTTTATAATACCCTCTGCAAGAGTGTAGCCAAATTCTAGAAAATAAAATGAAATGAAAACATTTTTTTTTTTCTTTTCTTCTAATAAGTAAAATTAAAGAATACAACCTTGTAATATTTTGCAGAGAGATAAGGTACAAACATAGATACTCGATTGAAAAGGTGTATCTTTAACAAGCAGATAGTTATCAATAAAATTAAATAAATGTGATTTGCATAGCTCATATTCCATGTTTGGCTTCATGGTTAGCTTATCCACTCAGTGTTTAATAGTTTTTCAATTACTGCTGTACAAAATTAGAACACATTCTCACAAATTTTGAAATCAAATAAAATGAAAACATTTTTCGTATTTACAATTAAAAATTGAAGAATACATTTTGGTAATCGTTTGCTGACATACGAAAAATAATGTTCGTAATTAATTAAATTCAACTGATATTCATATGGTAAATGATTGTATCTACATATGTATGTATGTATGAATGTTTATGAATAATAAACAACAATAACACAGTAGCTAGTAGCTAATGTTATCACTCTTGACATCTGGGAAGGGCTTTGGTCGGCTAATGCGTCTTGATCCACCCATTGATCAATGTGTTGCTGTGACGCCTTACTCTATGCCAAATACCACTGTGTACTGATATATTATATACTATATACAATATACTAATTTTGAATAGGTATGTCTGCATGTGTGCATAGTGAGTGTATTTGTGAATGTTAAATGCGATACGCTGACAGTGAGAGATGAGTGCTTTGAATAATGATAAGTGTATGCAGAATACTCGTATTCATGTTCAATATAAACATTCGATACTATTACTTTTAATAGATACCTACAAAGCTGACAACTAAAGGTTTCATTCTATTTATTCTTACTCAATCGTATCGTGTATAATTCACAAACTGCATTACAATTTAGAAACACGATTTTTGATTGGCATTCGTGTTAAAATTAGGTTCGATTGATTTGTATAACCTTTTATTGGAAATTTTGTAAGGGAGACATGTAAGACGCCATCTGTATATTAGTCATGAATCAGGTAAAAAGGATACTTACGAATTTCTAGGAAATAATAATGCTTTATTAGCAATTGGTTTACTTTGATTTATTGTGTGTATGAACAAGCCGATCGCAGATCAAGTTTATTTAATTTGATTGATATTTTTCCGAGATGAATTTCGAATTATTAAATTAGTTCCGATTCCGGTTCTGAATTTCGATCGGTTAAATGCAGTTCCGATTCCAATTCGCTTTCCAATTCCCATTTGACACACTGATACACTTTAGATAAAGTTTGTTTGCTTCCATTAAAAAATAGTTGAGTTCGTCAAAAAAATCACCCATTTCTTGAATGAAGAGTTGAATTACTGAATTGGAATACAGGATAACTGCTAGTCTGTTGCTTTTGAGTGAAACATTGTTATTTTGTTGTCCTTTAGTTGCACTGTGTTTTTTTTTTGTTATTTTTTTTTTCCTATTAATCATTTGTTAGTGCACTAAAGTTGCAAACCTCAATCCAGCCAACCCCTACCCATGCAACTACCCATCCAGCCTTCACCTCTCCTGTTTCGTTTGTCTGTCTGGCTGTGTGTGTGTGTCTGTGAGTTGCATTGTTGTCGACATGTCGGTGCGTGTGCTCATTGACGTCACTAACCAACCAACCCCCCCAAAAAACATGTACCCAACCAAACGAGCGAGCATTGTGTGTGCATGTTGCACGCAAACACAAAATACCCAAACACAAACTGTTTGCCACAGTTTCCCAGCCCCAACCCCAATCCACCACACCCTCTAACCAGTGCCTTCTCCTTGGCACTTTCGATGCTGTTGCACAGAAAACAAAACAAACCGTTGACAATCGTTGTTCATGCAATTTGTGAAGACTCTCTTTGAACTCTTATCTCAAGTGCAAATATTCTCTAAAAATCGATGAACATTTTGAGTAATATTTCAAAAAAAAACTTCAAAGCGAAATAAAAGTTGATCTTGCCAACTTACTCAACAAATGTTGAGCCGGCTCAGAATTCTTGTCATTTAGATACGGTTTTTATTGAAAGATCTAGTAAATAATGATATTTCTAATCAGGGTGTCGAACCGGAACCTTCTTCATCTGTAATGGAACCGAATATCGAAAATGATGTGAAATTAACAGTTCATGTTACCGGAAGCGGAACGATTCGATTTGACACCCTGCTGCCGTTTTTTTCAGTGCAGCCCGTCACTGCATAAGCTCTCAAAAAGTAAGCAGGTCAGACCGCAGTTCGCTGAGTGCGCTTGGCGAGCGGTTCTTGCGGTTGTTCCTCACCCTCTCTCTCTCTCTCGCCGACGTGCCACACACACACACACATACACAAATTTCTAACACAACAAGTAGTGTAACAAGAACAACAGCAACAACAACTTTGGTCGGCTTTTGTGGTTCACTTGGAAGTTGCTCCTCTTGAGGTCCGTTTGCCGATCCAAGTCTAAACCATCGAGTTGCCTCCGAGTTGCATAATAATTTTCGTTGGCTTGAATTGAAATTGATTTTTATGAGTGCAAGGTGAATGTACCATTTTCAGCTGTCATTTAGTCGGTCAGTTGGTCAATGTTTTTATTTTATCGTTTCGCTGCCCTTTTCAAAAATATTTATTTTTATTTTGTTTGCTTTTTTTTTCCTCCCATCAATTTGTATAACCTGAACCCATTGAAAATGGTTAAAACGGTATAGTGAAGTTAAGCCAAGTTATGTAACCGGCATAAGGAAGCATCTTCGGTCCCATATAGTATATATATTCTTGATCAGCATATATAGTCGATTCGATCTAGTCGCCTGTATAAAGCAGGCGAAGTCGGAGTTGGAATATAAGCTCTCTTATATTTACTTTACTTTCAATTTATCGATAACCGCCACCGTTGCGCAAATATCGATAAGAATCAATTTCCAATAGCAATAAAAGTCGCAATTTAATAACCTTGGCATATTATTGATCAGCTGTAAATCAACTTTCTTCAACATCCGATAAGAACCATACAGTTTATCAGCAAACCCGATTTTCATATTGAGCAAACTACTTTTGACAGACGCAAGAATTTTGCTGCGATTGTATAGTTTCTCTCTTTTTCTCTCTCTGGGAATAATAACCACTAGGCATGGTTAAAGTCGAATTTTTGATGTAAAGAGAAAGAAGAGAGAGACACAACCAAAAATGCTGTTAGCTTTTAGGTTTTTTGACAATATATTGCGAGGCATAGAAAAACACCGATTTTACCTAACTGAAACGTGCTGCGGTTTTCAGTGTGACCAGCGCCCGTGAGTATGCAGTACGGTCGATGATTTTTTTCCGACACAAAAATCAAATTCAATTAACCAAATATGCAAATAGGCGCCAAGCGTGCAATAAGTCATACATTTTATATGTATAAATGTATATAAATATAGATATATTTATATATATATATATATAGACGACCATTGAACCCCCTCGAAAATATTTACCCCCATCGCTCGCTGCACCCCAACTACCCCTGCCCCTAACTGTTGGCAGGCGCTTATTGATATTGAAAGAACTTTGCCCTGTTGTTGACTCTGGTCGCACGCCGGGCAAACAAATTTACAAATTTACCCAGCTGTCTGCCAGTTAGTGCCGTTGTCAATCTCTCAGTACTTTTGTCAGTTAGTCAGTCTGTCAGTTGGTCAATCAGCTAGTGATTCAGTATTGCGTTGAGTTGATGGCTGCTGTAAAAGTCACGTTTTGCATTTGGTTTGGTTTGGTTTTTGTTATTGTTGTTGTTTGTTATCTCGACAATGGCCAGTACATGGACGTAAAATATCTATTAATAAATTGATTATTTGAACCGGAACAGGAACCGGAACCGGAAATATTGTTATGTTGCTATTAGGCTAAACATCGTAGCGGTACAGCATGAATATCCTTTTCACTTCTTTTTATTCTTTTAAATTGTCTCTTGTCCCAGTAAGGCATGAAATCCATAATCTTTACCGGAACACTTAAGCTTTACGTACCGTATCCAAAACCAGAACATAAACTCGTTTCGAGTTGTTGCAGTTAAAATACCTCGTGCTAGTCACGTAAACAAATTTGAATATTTTGGCAATGAAACACTTGAAACAAATGAAATAAATTAAACAATTGCGGCATGAAACACTTGGCAGTGGAACGGGAAAAACTTGAAAAGAAAACGATTCAAATAAGAAACAGCTTGAAAACAAATTTTGATTGAACGAAATACAAATTCAAATTATTGAAAAAAACACAACTTATGTTTTATAGTCAGTGCACCCGTTATCGTTAACATATTGCAGGGTATTTAAAACTTGTCAAGCAGTCTCTTTACGTTTAGTCTTATTGTTTGTCTTTGTCGTTGGCATTTCATTTGTGTCAATAGATTAGACTTGATTTGATATGCCATTTCCCTCTTTCATTTCCCTCCCATTTCCTCTTAATTCTCGTCTGTCTTTTTTCGCTGGAATTTTCAATTTGACCAATTTCAATTGACAAATTCTTTGTGTGCTGGAAATCTGAATAAAGTGTTCAGTTTAAATGCTTAACTCTGCATGCCACATGCAATATGCCACATATGCGTGTGCCACAATTCAATTAACCACCATCATCTGCATTTTCATCTGCATCTGCATTTACCTCCGATTCCATTTGTGATTCTGGTCGTGAATGGCAACCTCAGCGTTGAGACAACAGAACGCGGCCAAAAGGCAACCAGAAATTTCAATAATGCATGCCATGCTGACTACACTGAGAGAAAATCCAAGTAATATTTAATATTTTAACCTCAATTGGGCAGTTTTCGACGAAATGGAATAAACTTGAGCTGTCTAGCAGTACCTATTTTCTAAATATGACACATATATATTAGATATATAGTATTCATGTATATATGTAAAATATTTTGTTATCATTGTTATTTGAAAACATCCTCAATTGGCTTGAATGCAGA